ATTGTACTCGCTAGCAAGTGTATACTGAAGAGAACAAAATTATTTGAAACACACATCTGCACACATGCACACTTCTTGAAAGCACAGCTGAAGCTATGTCTTCACCCATACATGTCACACATTTTCTCAGTTGTGTCCATGGATATCATGGTCACTGTCATCCTAGGAACCTAAATACCTCTACCTCATTTCCCACCTCTGCACCTCACCCGGGCCTTCATCAGCACTGCTGTGTCTGGTTTCAGGGATGAGAGTTCCTGCTTCTCATATTGTTCCAGGTGTACCTTTTTTTTTTCATCTCTAGGTGAAATTACCTTCCTGAACACGCCATCTCCTGAAATGTAGCTGGGTCCACACTACTCAAGGACATGAATTTCAATTTCCTGGATTCATTTACAATTTCTAAAACTTTTCTTTAGTTTTTTAGGAGACAATTTGAGCAATTCTCCTTGAATGCAGACAAATCGTTGCAACACTGATTTTGTTTAGGTTTATTTCCATATGCTATTATGTACATATATGAGTATGGAATTTCATTTTCTCTTTAATTGGCTCTACCCACTGCAAATAAGACCAGATGAGGTACTGGTATGTAACTCTAGATCCATCAGACAATCTCTTGTTTCCTTGCATAGTGCTCTCCATAAAACATATGAGCACAGTGGGTGGCAGAGCCATTCAGCTCCAGGAATGCCAACTGGGGATGAGTCTGGAAATACAGAGGCTCTGAGTCCCAGGGCACAACAGTTTAAAGATGACAGAAGAAACAATCTCCAAAATCAAGTCCACTGCTACTGCATTGGATTATGCAGACGGTTTCTTCAGTGTGTCATTCTCCCTGCAGTTTGCAAAGATGTTTTTCTCCCTACCTGGCTAGTCAGCTCAAGTTACATAGTTCCCATCACATCACTATCACACATCCTCAAACCAACTCCTTCACAAAATAATAAATTCTAGGACAGTGCTGGTATCAAGGCTTTTGTCCATACATCCTCACAGGGATTGAACTAAGAACTCCTTGGATGCCTTAACTTTGAATGTGTCTTGGTGTCTTTAAATTTGCTGTGGGTTGTATTGGAGGTGACAGATTGAAATTAACTTTCTAAGACTCCAGTAATGCCTCAGTGGGATTACAAATATAACTTTTTGGATTGTGAGGAAGACTGGAAAAGGGATTCCAATATTTGGATGACAATATTCAATATTTGGGCTTACGATATTTGGAGCTCAGTGTGGCCAGAATACACAGCCTTCACATCACAACTATATATCATCATCAAGGAGACAATTTGCTGAATCTTTCATCATGAATTTCCTTTGAACTAGTTTCTAAACTTAACTTTTAGCTGTAATGCTCATGTTTTGCTTACATATGATTTGATTAAACTTGGTTTTTTCCTAAAGGATTCCAAACCCTAAGATATCATTCAGATGAACAAAAAAACAAACACACTAGATTCTTTTTAGATTCCTTATACTGCAATCCACCAAATTTAGTAGAGAGTAATGTTTCTGTGATCCATATCAAATCCTTTACTAGCTATATCCAAGGGGCCATAAATGGCTCTGCAGCTGGGCTTTATGTCTCAAAAAAAAAAATCTAAAATCAGTAAAACAGGCCATCTTCAAAACTCAGAAGCCATAAAATAGGTGGTGCTTAGCACAGAAGGTACTTGTGTAATTGTAAAATTTCAATGCTTATATTCCCAGTCTTTCTTCTAATGTCTAAGTATCTGTTCAAGATATTAGATGACAAACCAATGATATGGAAGATTGTAAAATTCCCTTATAAAAAGTCATTACTAGCTATTTTGCTGAAATTCCTCATTCAGTGTACTCATAATTACCCTAAGAATTGTATTATTTGGACAATGCATACAGAATTCTTTTTTTTTTGTCTTCTCCAGACTTAAAGCTGTACACTTAATAAGATAAAAATATCTTGTATATATAGAGGTCATTAGATAAAATCTCTGTAACGTATCTCTGACTGCTGATCTACTATGAACCACTTCAGCCTGTAGAAGCCAGAATGGTCATTGTCCATTACTCACTCATTGATGTTTGGGTTACTTATTTAGAGGAGGGATTGTTATAGGCATCTCAGTTAGATATAAATATTATAGACTGTCAGGCAGTTCTAGGCCCTAAAAGGATCCAGTGGAGAAGCCCAGATACCTTGTACCTAAGGTAGAGACAGTCACCTCTCACTGTGGGATAAGTATCCAGACAGAAGACCAAACACATACACCCACATCCTAAGGACTGATATTGGACATAGGTCTCTGCCACTCTGCTTATTCCAGCAGACACTGTCCTAACCCCTATAAGAAGTGTCAATGCTCTGTGTGCCTGCCTGCTTGCTTTGTAACTCACTTCCCCATTTTTCTCCAATTTAATCCATTTTACCTGATAATTAACCTTATTGGTTGATCAGAGTTCTGCCCCACTTCATGCCCACATTTTGAGTTTCCATATTTTCCACACCTTGCCCCTGCCTCACTTTGTTGTTTTGCTACATAAATGTCCCTAGAAAAGACAAAGTCTTTGGCAACCCACTCTGAATCACTTCTGTCTCTCAGAAAGAAGTTTTCTTTCTCTATGTAAATATATTCTGCTCTTAATTTTCATTGTTCCTAAAATTCTTTCATCAGTTTAAGAGAACATGAACTCATACTGGTCATTTAGTAGGTTGGGAATCTTTTTTCTCCTGTATCAAGATGTAGGTAAAAGAGTTAAAAGTACATGGATTCTAATGTCTCAATGAATTGAGAGATCCCTGGGTTCAAGTTCAAGGAGCTATCCTAGTCCCAGCTGTGACACAGTAACACAGCAGAATATCTGCCTTGTGTGGTCACAGGGTCAAGTTCCCATAGGATTAATCTGTCTCAAAGTAGACAAACAGCACTCATGGCAGTGGAGATGACACTGAACACTTGTGTCTCCCTGCTGAAATGGTCACATACAGAGTGACTCCTGCATCCAACATTTGCACCTCTTCACACTGAAGGTCATAATGTGCAGTCTCCCCATGAGGAGGGATGGAGCTGTGCTGAGCTCTCAATCATGACTTACTCAGGAATCCTCACCCCACTTTCCTGACTCAGAGATGAATTAATAAGGATGTCATCTCACACAGGAATTCTTTAAGGAGATTTAATGTAAAGCATTGTTTGATTCTATCTCTCTGTGCTGACCTCAGATAACCCTTAAAACATTTGCTGTGGAACTCAGTAGCAAGGAATCCTGAGGGTTCTTGCAACATCTTACTGGAAAATCTTTCAATACACCAATAGTAAACAAGAGCTGGATCCCTCTGGTTGGATGACAGTCCTCTAAAGACCAGTGTGGTCCTCATCACAGCTGAAAGCCTTTCCCCTGAAGGCTCGGTGCTCTGCTCTGAGATTCATGTTCAGCAATGTTCTCTACCATGCAGAGAGTGGACAGCTCCAGGTGTCTTCAAGGAAATTCACTTTTTTTACAGCACAAATGTGTCAGTAAAAAACTGATTAGCATTTCTCAATAGCTAGACATTAGACTACACACATGTAAACATTAATGTGTGGTAGGAAGTTTACCAGAAACCCATGAATATACATATTTTGAATGTATTTCGCACACAGAGAGAGACATAAAATCAGATGAGTTTATAAAAGTCTACAACTTTGTGTGTTATAGCATCAAACACAACATAAAAGTGTAAAAACTATTCAAGAGAATGAAAGCATTACAGGGTATTTAGAACCAACTAACATAAAACGAATAATGGTTTGTATATTATCTCCTGTTTGTAAAAAATTTTGTTTATACTGTCACATATAATAAAATCCAATAAGATACAACATGATAAACTGATGGAGACAGAAGAAAAAAAGCTTCATTGGACTCCAAAATAAGTTAATATTATATAAGCACTAGCTATTATAATGTCTTGTTTTCTTAAAAATATCTTTTCATACCATCACAGACAGTAAAGTCTAACAACCCAGAATAGAGCCATTCCAATTAATGAAAACATTATTAGGCTTCAAAGCAATATAATGGGGAATCATGTTTACCACATACTTTTATGTATGCTTACTGTTGGGTATCATGTGGTGAAACACTAGGTTGTTTAAATTGTTCTGTTCTGACCTGTGTTATTATGTTGTTATGTCCTCTTTTATCTGTTTTCATTCTTTCTTTTAATTTTTAATAAAATATATAAATAAATAAAAATATATGTCTAAAAATTTACGATAAACTTTAAGCATTTTTTGCCCACTTAGGTGAGAAACCAACAATGTGTTATCCATTTCAAAATCTTGCTTTCCACCAATTACTAAATGAGCAAATACTGAATGAAAAATGCATATTGATTTGAGCAGTGACTCTGAAATGGATGTGAATAGATGCAAATAGAATGTGAACTGATGCTGTGTGTTATGCCCATGTGCTGTGTGCAGCTCGCATTCCTGCTATCTTTGACAACTTTGTCCTGGTTGTCATACTCCTAAAATTTTCTTTCATCTGCAGACACATCCAGCTTGCTGACCAGCTCTTCCACTCCATGTCCTGTCCAAGAGTAGGAGGTTTGGGCCTTGACTAATGGACTCCAAGAACATCGATGAGTTCTCAGAGGGCTCCTCCACCCAGAGGCAAACTCAAAAGTTTGTTTGTCTTTTGTCTCCTTCTGATCTTCATGTGCATGATTGCATTTCAGATGTAAATGTTTTACGAGCTACCAGATAAGTTCACATTGCACATTGCCTTAATTCGATTTGTGTCTCAATATTTAAGATGTATTCAAAGATTTGTAATTAGTCTTCAGTAACATAGAATAATGTTGGTTCATACTCTTTCTGGTGATATCTGCCATTTGTGAGTCTACGAAAATTCAGACAGAAGTATGTGGAGATTCGGCCTCTGATCTCAGGTTTTGCATATTGGTAAGAATAAAAATGCAGATGACGTTACACATTGAAAGGAACCATGTGTTCTGTATACTAGGGATAATACAAAACAAATCTCAGAACTCTCTCATGTGCTTTGAACTCTTCCCTCTCCGAGACTTCAAGAAGAGAACTGGCCATATATACAGGACGGCATGCAAATAGGGCCTCCCTGTGCTGATGAAAACCAGCCCAGCCCTCATCCTTACAGCTCTGCAGAGGATCCCAGTCCTGGATGTCAAGCAGTTCCTATTTAGTGATCAGCACTGAGCACAGAAGTTTCACCATGGCGCTGGTGCTGAGATGGGTTTTATTTCTGGCTACTTTAAAAGGTAACGTATGAAAAAATAATAAATACCAAATGAGTGTGTGAGTGGCATGAGTGGGATAAACAATCGGCATGTGTAATAGCTTCCTGAACATGATGTCTCTGCGTTTGCAGGTGTCCTGTGTGAGGAGCAACTGGTGGAGTCCGGGGGAGGCTTGGTGCAGCCTGGAGGGTCCCTGAGACTCTCTTGCGTGGCATCAGGATTCACCTTCAGTAGCTATTACATGAACTGGATCCGCCAGGCTCCAGGGAAGGGGCTGGAGTGGATCTCAATGATTAGCAATGATGGTAGCAGCACAAAGTACGCAGACTCCGTGAAGGGCCGATTCACCATCTCCAGGGACAACGGCAAGAACACGCTGTATCTGCAGATGAGCAGCCTGAGACCCGAGGACACGGCTGTGTATTACTGTGCCAGAGACACAGTGAGGGGACTTCAGTGTTAGCCCAGACAAAAATCTCCATGAAGAGCTGCTACGCAGACCAGCAGGGGGCGCGCGGAACACGCAGAGCACAGTCTGTCCTAAGAGTACAGGTATTAAACATTGTATTGGTTCAGGTGGGCTTTATCACATTTAAAAAAAATAATTGTACAAGTAATAGAAAGAGAATAGAAACAAACAATTAAAATCTTAGCTATCTAAAATGCCACATAGAAACCTAAATAATCCATTGTCTACTTAAAAATATCCAAAAAGCAATTAATATAGTAAAATACTGTGATATGATTAAGAAATCCGTTATTGAGGCTGTGAATTTTGCATTTTCTATCCTTTGCATAGTGAAGAAAAATGTTTTGAATGTTTTATAACATATATAAACAATTTACAAAAATACAGTGTAAACTTGTAAGAATGGCTTTATATACATGGCTATATATATATATATATATATATATATATATATATATATCATAGGCTATAGGGATAGGTTTGGTATGATATACACATAGCAAGAATCTACTAAAGTAATGAGATAAAAACAAGAACTACCTGTCAGCTGTATGAAAACATACAAGTGACGTTCCTCTGTACCCACAGTGAAAAAAATCACATCATGCTGTATGAAAAAAATGACATCTACACACTTACTGAGAAATTATTTCAATAAAATTAATGATACTGAGAATCAAGGCATTCAAAGATTTAAATAATCATGAATTTTTCAGTTGATCCCAAAATTTTACAGTTTTCAAAATTTGTTGTGGGCCAACATCACTGATAAAGTTCACATATTTATTATTTCATACATTTACTATTTTCTATAAAAGATCATTACTAAATACCCAAAATATCCAGGTATAATAGGGTGGAGATGACATGATTAAATTTTCATGTATTTTTAAACTATCACCTCAAGTGTTTCAATGTTGTAAATTTATTCAAACAAATAAAATGAAAATCTAAATAGTACAGCACATATTGTAAACAAATCAAAATCACTTGTTTGTATGCAGGAAAGAGAAATCAGTGTCCTTTAAACCAAGGCTGGCTGAATTCATAGCGATGACTGTCTCCTACACAGCAAATCAGCTGGCAGAGGTTTGAGCTGAGACAAGACAATGGAAAGGATGCTGTGAGGTCCCCTGAGCTTCGTACTCACCTTCACTGACCTTGACTGTGGGACTGTGAAGCTGTGGAAAAGGGAATGAGTTGACAAGTGGGAAGTTCACTGCCCCCTGAGATTTGCCACATCTGGCACTGATTGGTAAATCTGATCTCCTCAGTTGTTAGATGGAGGCTTTACATACACATTGTTTCAGCTACAAACTGACTGAAATTCATGAGAAACTGGAAGCTTCAACTGAAATATAGTTGAGTGTTTACATACTCGATGCTGCTAGTTTCTCATGCTCTCTTAAATTTAAAATAGACAACAAAAATTCTGTATGGATGGAGAGGCAGTTAGTAAAATCTGTAGCGGTATGGACTATACAGATATCTGGTATGATATCAAGAGGTCTCATTAAATTTGTACATTAAAATAATGATTTCCATCATGAAAATCACAATGATTTACCATGCAAAAATTTTGCTAGATATACTCTTATCTGTAATTAAGAATATGCCCATCGCACACTCTTCTCCAAATAGAATACAGCTCTAATTTTGTAATATTTGTTGCAACAGTGAGGCCTTACAAAGCTTTCATTTCACAGTTCTTTGGATTATCATAAAAATGGCAATAACCTAAAGCACTCAGTTATGATATTGAAGTGTGTGATGTTTTAAAAATACTCAGACATTAGAAAAATTTGTCAAATTTGTTTACAGCATCTGATTTCACAAATTTGTATCAAGGTTATGTGGCACAGATCATAAAATTTAAACCACTGACTCATTATTCTTTCCTTCTTTCCTTGTTCTCAAACTATTGTACAACCGAGTGACATGCATGGACTTTTATTTAGAGGACTGAGCTGATATTATTGAAATAAATACGCATTAAGGAAAATAAACCTCTGTCTGAACTTTATACTCTTCCCAACACTTAAAAAACAAAGAAGAAAAAAATACAAAAGAAACTCAAAACAGCTCCATTGGTCTTTTTTTCTTGACAATGATCACAAAAGTTTATTTCATGAAATAAATTGTATATTCTTTTTTTCTTTATAAATAGTAAAAAGTATAAAATTCTTCATTTCAAATATCGATCAATTTTCTCAGTACTGTTGTATAATAAAATATCTAAGTTTCATACTTTTTTTTCAACTCAGTATATTCTATCTGCAGCTTTGTTTCATGTACACAGACAATGAGCACATTTAAAGGGTAGTGGATATGATTTACTGTCAGGTTTGGATATTTCTGTATAAGATTTTTATCCCTGATACTATGCTTTCATGTGTTTTCTTACCTCTGAAGTCTCAGTTTAATTTTTAAAAGAGAACACATTCTCAGTTCTGCAGGACCACAATTATCACTTGGAACAAATAAGATTCTACTGTGCTAATCTGGCCCAGGTCCCAGTTAAGCTCAGGGAATCTGGTAACCATATGGATGGAAGTTGAAGCCACAGTGAGGGGTACTCATTGTGAGGCCAGCCACAACCCTCACCTCTGCAGGGATCAGGACCCACAGATTCTGCTCCTCACATCCCAGGGGTGTGCAGTACTTTCAGAGGGAGCCGAGGAACACTCAGGCATATCAGGGTTCCCTGGAGCCAGCCCCTTCAGGTCCCAGCACAGGAGCAGGTGCATGGAGACACCTGGGGACTTTAGCTGCTGTGACCTCAGGTACTGCTCACTCCTTATCCTCCTGTGACCCACTTCCCCCTATGGAAATGTAGTAATGATGGACCATGTGTGCCTTTCATTACATCTTCTTCATGTAAGTTATGCTATGAACATTTTGTAACTATCAACCTGAATCATTAACAAACTTTCTGAAATCGGTTAGATATCAACAATGTCTCCAATTCAAATTTTAAAACTTCATTATTGGTGAGTATATGCTATTAAACCTGCAGCCATCTGTACAAAGTAAGTGGGAATTACTTTCCTAAATCCCATAATCTGCCATTCCTTTTCATTCTTGCATTCCCATACCCTAACTTGGTCAAAGCGACTAGAGATTTCTCTATTCTGTCTGTGGGTTAACTTTCATTAGAAAATTCTCCTTAGCTTCAAATAAATCACAGTGCTTATATCTACATTCAAAATTAAGCAAAATGGTATCAGGTTTTTGCATTTTACAATGCACTGTAAGATTAGGGTAAAATGACAGGCAGAACACGTACTGATGAAGATACACTGAATATTAGAACCCTCAGCCAAGGGGATGAGATTTTGCAATTTCACAGCTGCTCTAAGTAGCTTAGTATCTTAAAATTGGAAAAAAATGAATTCTTCATAGAATTTATATCTTTAGATAATTAATTAAGAGGATTGAAAATTCAAATTTGCATAAAATCTTAGAAGCTGATATCCCTATAAAAATTCCTGATGGCAACCAAAACTAAAAACTTCCTCAAAGTCTACTAATTAAAAGGAAAATCAAAGAAATTTTACATAAACATGGATATTCTTCGCCCAGAGAGAAATGAATGTTCTTGTTACTGCATAAGTATGCTATGAAACATCCTAATGAGCACAAACTTCCCCTCCTGTGTCACTCTGGTGACATATAACATCTATAATTTTCACAGTAATTGCACTCTGAATATATACCTAAAGCTTTCAGGGAATATGCACACATGAATTATGCAATGGACAACTAGAAATAGTCATAAATTTCCTTACCATGATGAACACACAGATCAAGCACTGTTACAGTAGAATCAGAAATAAATTAATATGCACAGTTCCACTCAATTGTACATGTAAACTCCGATCTTTTTGTGGATAAATTTCAAGCAGAGTGCCATTAAAAAGGAAAGAATCAAAAGATATAACACCTAATACATTTCTGGAAAAAAACAAACAGTGCAAAAACCTAATTTACATTTTAAAACTTACTGGAAAATCTCAGTAACTCACTGATGCTGACACCATGCATATATTTATGAATGTAATACATCAGACAAGACCTAGTACAGAGAAACAGCACAACAGAGTTCATTTCTAATGATACACTGATTACAGGAGCAAAATGACAAAGTGGAATAAGAACAAAATGACCAAGTGGAATAAGGAAGAAAAATTTAGTAATTAGGAAATTTCCCAGATTGGCCGAATTATAAATGACACAAGATTTACTAAACTGGACACTCATGCTGTGTGAAGGGATCACGTGATAGTGAGAGAAGCCAGATGCTATAAAACAGGAAAACAGGAAACTGAACCACATTGCATTTAGAGCCTGTCTCTCACCATAGGACCAGAGTGCAGGGACTTGAAAGACTGACACGGTCAGTGATGGTCAACCTAAGAGCTCTATTCTCATTTTGTCAGGGTTTTCACAAGTATTAGCAGCAAATACCTTTGGGCCACTTTCTTCACTAACCACATGTGTGGCACCTATGTTTCCAAGAGAAATCTGGGCCAAGTACTGACATGGTAGTGTACTCATACCAATCTGTCCATGGAGTCCATGGCACACTCCCTGTACAGACACACAGATCCTAAGAAGTTTGGTGCATGGATGCTTCCTTCTGACTTTGAAATCAAGCCATGGCATTGTAGGCACAGACAGGAATCACTGCATGAACAGGGATACTGCAGGGACCCCCACCGAGGCAACAACAACACAAGTGTGAGGTGAGGGTCGCACAGAGAAGTGCCTAAGCCTTGCAGACCTACATTGCACAATTTGCTACAAAACCCCTGGCCTGGAGAACCATTTCCTGAGAATGCCAGTGTGGGAGCCAGCAGGCTTGTGTTCACACCCACATAGAGTCAGGTAACAGCTGCATGGATGAGTCTACCAGAACTTTGTCAAATTGTGACCTTGTGTGAAATTGATATGATATCAAAGAGCATAACTGTGGGTCATGAGGTAGAAAAGTT